AGATAATATTCAAATCGGATGCTTGGTAAAAATCTTAAATACTTTCAAAATAGTGGTCGTTGCTTCACGTGAATGAAAAATCATTTTCCATTCGAAATTGTACTTCAATCACCTATATTAATTTGATCATCACTATACCAACAATGCTTTTCCAAGCGTAAACCAACTTAATTGGTTCCACGATTGAAGTCAAATTCAACAATGAAGAAGACTAAGCATCTTCAACCATGTGCAACTTTCACATTTATGACATTTCACAAATAATATTATTCACATCAAATAATAAGGTACATTTCACCTTATTCATCATATCTAAATTTGAATGAATAAATCGACCATAGGTTAACAATTTGTGTTCTCAAAGTCACAGCGTTACAAAAGGACATACCTCTTGAAATTAATCCTAGAATATTTCATATTATTCTTCACAATTTTTTGAATAACATAGTTTTTATCCTTTACAAATGAATGTCATTTTACAATTATTATTTTCAAGGATATCCAACACCACCACCAACTATAGACATCATTTGTGCTCTATAAAATATTTTCATATTCGAATAATTGGGCAAGCAATTTTCACTTTAAAATAATTAGGACAAAACCACATTTTGTCATATCTTTTGCAACTATAATTTTGCATAAGTCATTTCATTTAATTTCATAGAAATGATTGAGGCTATCATCATTAATCAAGGTTTGTATAATTTTCAAACCAAAATCCATGGACATATACTGGATCTCTAACTTCATACCGTATATGTCACTTACCGGATTGACACATACCTTATATGTAACTTATCGTATATGTGACTTACCGTATATGTCGCTCATTGTATATACAACTTACCGTATATGCGACTTATCGTATTTGCTACTTACCATATTTGCACCAGCATACCATATATTCAGTTTATATGCAAATTACAGTATATACCGAATTTGCATATATATACCAAAAAGTTTTCGAAACCCAAACCCTTGTATGGATTCACCAATATTAGATCCCGCTTCCAACAACATGGGTGGGCACCAAACCATGCCTCTTCATATGAATAATATTTTCAAATGTTATCCAAAAGAGAAACACATATTTTCCTTTCTTACACGTGATTGTCTACTAGTTTAATTATCGAACATGCACCTTTGCATTGAAAAGTCACGTCCATCCAAACATTTCCTCCCATGGCAGTTACAAAATATATAATGGGACATTAAAATGTATTTCATAATTCGAGAGGAAATTACTAATTACGTAAATCACAATCACAATCACAATCATAAATTGCATTAAACATGTATTTAATGAACATTTATTTCACATGCAATAATTTGGAGTCCATACCACTTCCAAATTAATTCATAGACATTCGTTTCCAATTTTTCGGGTTATGAACATAAAGACTGAGGAAATTCGATGGCAGTTACGAAAGCTTAAAATGAACAGAGACGCTCTTTCATTTAAACAATAATTATCACCATTAAATCCATATAAAGCATAACCGCAAGAATTCCAAAAGGGTCACACGATTTCAGAAATAAACTGCCTTTAAAATTCTGCACATATGTTCTTGGCCACCATTTGGCCATCCAAAATTATAGTAACCTCATCTACCATTATATCCACAGGCCTTTTATTTTGCACAAGCATTATAACAGTCGACAATTAATTGCATGAGTGTTCCATAATGTACAAAATTCTAGTATGCACAAATTCATCCTTTCATCATGTAAGCACCGATTTACATGCACGACAGTTTTAATGTCACAGATTCATAACGTTACTTAATAAATATGCAATGGACACATTCATTTCAGCAACTGGCAGATATTTTTTGCCTTTCTGGATCCACACCAAATAGATAATATAATGGAAATGCACCGTTTTGAAACCGTAAGTAAGAAACCAGGATTCAACAATTTGAATGAAAAGCCATTAATCACTAAAATTGCCGCATGCTCTTGTCCAAAACCAACTATCACTTCCACTTATCCATTAGCAATTATAATACTTTAATTTCCAAGGTAAATAACAATTTCCAATCATTAGAGCAAATGATCACCCACATGTTTCCAACCATTATTAAAATTGATTTGGCAGCCTTTAGTGCAACCATATATACAAAGAAAATATCCAGATGAGGTAAGATAAAATCAAAGTTATGTACTATCTTGATTCTCGAATTTTTCTGAATTTTGACAAATTTAATTTAGAGAGTATTATATTTTTCTCTCCATGTATTACATATTCATATGCAATTAATTACCGAACAGTCACCAACACCAGTGAATCAGTGGTTGGCATAGGTGGTTATAAGAAAATGATTAGAATCATTCATTCACATCTTTTCACGCTAAATATTTTGTTGAATTTATTATGCATAAATTCAATTTTGATATTCTAGGTAGATTTTTCATAGAATATAAAATTCACAACAAGCACCAAAAATTCATCTTAAGATTGTTGGAGAAATTACACCAATAATTGTGAATATTATATTCACAAAAATCATGCCGTTTATTTGTGTGAAATCAAAACGTAATTTCGACTTACCAAGATGGGATTTGAGAAGACAAAATAAGAATTTATCGAATCCGAACATATCTATATGGATTTATCCCTTTCGATTTTTGAATGAAAGCAAATCATTCTTTGAATCGAACCTTGCAACATAAACTTGTAAACAATGTTAATCAGTTTCTGAAATCAAAGTATAATAAAAGAAATCAGAAAATGAAACAAGAGAATGCAAGTGGTGAATTTTAGGTCGAGGAAAGTGTTGGATACTTTGTCCTTAAGATGAATTTGCCCCGCATCAGTGTTAACGATTTTTCGGCAACGCATCAGTGCTAACGATTTTTCGACAATCATTTCCCAAGATATAATGATCACGTCAAGCCATAGGAGCACTCCAAATGACTTCAACCAATGAACTCGAACGAAATTCCCTCTCTACCATGACCATGGTTTTGATGCAAAATGGAATTACTTCTATAAAATGTTTTATACAACATGACATGAAAGAATAATTTATATGGAATGAAAATAAAAGTCCAAATGGTCCTATATATAGAAGTTGAAGAGTGGTAGGTGAAGGGACACACCCCAAATTTTAATTTCTTTCAAATAGGGTCGAATTTGTCATTCATATACAAATTGGTCCTCAACCAATTTTCAACACAAAAATGATAAATTAGATAGTCAAGATTCTTGGTAGGGGTCTCGGTATCTGACTGCTCTAAAACTGTTTGATGTGATTCATTAAGGACTACAATCTTGATGTTCAAGCTTGGACTACCATTTTACACTCTGTATCAGCTTACTAGGAAGTACAGCCAAACAATTTTATATAGGAAATGATGTTTCCAACTTTGATTACTTATAATGTGAAATAGGAAAAGGGGATGGTCTTGTATTGGGCAAATTGTCATTAAACAGGAGATGTAACTCGACCATTTAAAGCGGCCAATTTAAATTAATGCTATTCATGGCCCGTTTTCACTTACTTGGACGACTAATAAAATGGAATCCACTTAGCAGCCCACTTAACTATTTGTTGGGCCTTCACCCATTATTATGCCCTAATTAACTTAACCGCCCAATTGATATATGACTCCTTCCTCTACTCCTCTTCGTGTGTGAAAAACAGGCTACCTTTCTTTTTGTGCTCACCGGCCACTGCCATTTCGTTCACTCTACTGCCTTTGTGGTTACTCTCTTTATGATTTTACCTTCCTTGGTGGTTTTCTAAGTGGGTGAACTCTAGCAACCGCAAGTAGAGGAGCAGTTGAAGGAGGTTTGGGTCGATTTGGTTTGAGGTGTCGATTGATAGAGGGAGCTGAGCCCCAAAAATGCCTTGGCAATCTTCTATTCTGCATAACATCTTGGGAAAAGATTCCAGGGCTTCTGGAGTATGGACCTTGAATTTGATGAGTTCACTTGTGTTACTGTGATCTCTGCTTGTGGAAGAGAAGGTTTGATAGAGGAAGCAATTAACATTTTTAATGGGCTGAAGGCTAAGGGATATAGCTTTTAAGTATTTGGGAAAGCAGGGATTTACGATGAAGCTTTGAGTTCTCAGATGAAGGAAAACCATTGCCCTCCTGACTCAGTAACTTGTAAAGAGCTTGTGGCTGCATGTTTTCTTGAAAAGAGAACATCATTGATTGGCACTATGACGCAGAAGGGTATTCTGCCTAATGCCGTCACTTGTACCACCGTGATTGATGCCCATGGCAAAACCGGGAAGGAAAGCAAGGCTTTGGCCTGTGAGTCTGTTTAAACTGATGAAGCAATCGGGCTGCGTTCCTAGTGTGTACTTACAATGCTATTCCCGGGATGCTGGGGATGGAAAATATGATAGAAATTGTTTGCGACACCAAACCATGCCAAGTTTATACATTATCCTGCGTCTATAACAATCAAAAACCATGTATACAAATTTGAACTTATTGTCCCGCAGAGTTTGATCGACTATAAAGATGAAATATTCCGCTACCCATTGAAAATGATCGGGGCTGATGAGCTATTGGTTTTTCCAAATCTCAACATTCAATTACATTGACAGAAAACTGTAAGAACCAATTCTTGCGCTGGGTTAGTCTTTAGAGGTGTCACGTACAAGCGCCTGGCCTCCAATGACTATGTAAACGTGCAAAAATCCCCAAACATATGAGCTAGTTCTAATATTTTTCTCCTCTATGGGGCATTAGTATGAGTTTCCATTCAATGTATCGTAGTAGAGTTAAAATAGAGAAAAACATGAACCAAAACACACTGTAATTTTCATTTTTGATATGGTACCATTTCAAGTCTCCGACTGTAAACATGTTGGCCAATGAAGATGGCACCACCTAAACAAAAATCACAGTAGGAGACCTTCACTACAATAGTAAACAAAAAACATTTCCTCCAGGCAACCGTATTCTATGCATCTAAGATTAGGAAGAAACAAAAAAGGATAGGCAACTGGAAACAAGAGACAAACTGAAGGGCAATATAGTCAAACCATCTCCTGAACACAGATAAAAACTTCAAGAAAAACCTTAGATTACATAAAAACCATGAAGGGCAGAACAGAAAATATAATATCACATCATGTCATGTCATGATTGATACTAGAAACTGCTAAAATCATAGTACGTCCCTAACACTAGATTAATTTCATTTTTATGTGTTTCGTCTTCCATGTTTTCAACTAATACAACCTAGTAGAATATTACATGACTACATATGTAGAAACTAAACTACATATATCAAACCCTAACTTATTCCAAGGACTAGGAATCTACACACAGCAAATTAACATAAAATATGTCTGATTGAAGGATTTGAACGACACTCACAAAATTAAACCCCAACATGTCATCAGCCCGTGTTCCCCCAAGCATTGAAAGAAAATAATTTTTCAAGTATAGCCACTAGCTGAATCGTGCTGGATAATAGCAACTGTAGACATCTAGTACCCCAGCAAATGCAGAAACAATCTCCAAGTGGTTGCTGATGATAAGTGTCACTTCCCAGAGCATTAGAAAATTGTGCACGCAAAAGCTTTCCCAATTTCCAATTTCTTCTTTCAATCATGGGATAGAGCTGGCTAAAGATAGCTCATGAAGATCACTTAGCATCCATTCTTCCCCAGTTTGACCTCCGAGGACTATGGCCCTTGTGCCTCCAACCACGCATGTACTATGTCCCCAAGCAAATCTTGGAGGCCGCCCAGGTACGTTCAGAATTCTCCATGTTGGTTTATCTTCAGTAGGATCAAGTATATAAAGCTGGGATGCAGAGTGAAGACCAGCCACAGATCCACCAAAGACAAGGATACTACCGCCAGGGAGGCTAACTGCTACATGATCAAGTCGAGCAGGGGGAGCTATTCCACCCGGATTTCCGGCTCCAGGCATCCCACTACCTGTTACACATCTCCAACATGGTTCATCCTCGCTCAAGTCCATAGTGAACACGTCACTTGATCTAAACCGCAGAGGACCACTTTTGGCAAGACCCCCAAACATCAAAATTTTCCTACCACCGTAAACAGATAACGTGTGGCCCAAACGTGAAGGTGGAGTCCACCCTACTGGTATCTCTCGCCATACAGGTTTCTCCATCGAAAGATCAAGCAGGAAAGTGTCACTAAGAAGCACTCCAGAATCGGCACAACCACCAGAGACTATCAGCTTGGTCCCATCAAGGGTGCAGGAGCTATGCCAAGATCTAGGAAGTGGAGGAGCCAAGCTGGAGATTTCACGCCAAGTAGGATGTTTTGCATCCAAATCCAAGACGAAAACATCATTGAGTAAGCCTTGCCTCCCGCAGCCCCCAAACAGAACAAGATGAGAGCCATTCACACAAGAAAGCGTGTGGCCCCAGCGTCCAGGAGGTGGAGAGCTCACTTTGACATGCTGCCACTCTGGATTACTTGAGTTCAGATCCAGAACAAATGTATCATTCATGGGTTGCATGTTGGTTCCCTCCCCACCAAAAAGAACCACACGATTCCCTACAGCACATGCACTGAAGTTGCAACGAGAGGGTTCAACAGCACCTCCAACAGTTAGGTTTCTCCAGGCTGCTGCTTCAAGGGTGGTGAGTTCTCTAGCCAACATACCCCACCCCAAACGTTTAGCACCAGGAACTGTCTCTAATACTTGAGTCGTCTCGAGACCCCATGCATTTTGACAGACCATTCGCCACATCTCTTCATTTTTGGTCAAATCATAAAGATGCCAACAAACAGAGCCAATGGATGCAATATCCCTAGGAGCAAGACGTGAAAGAATCTCCATAGAAAGAACTTCGTCGCTCAACTGCATTATCCCACAAACCCCACGATTGATATTCTTCTTCCCATCTGAAAATACTCCACCAGGAGAAATATTAAACCTAGACCTATCAGATGCCCTTATAGATTCCTTTACTGAAGATCCTGGAAGATGACCTAGATCAAGATTAGCTTCTGTAAAAAACTGAATGCCAATTACATGAGTTATTGTCTCATCATCACCACATATTGGGGTCAATCGCAACCTATTCATCAAGGGACTTCCATCTTTTCGAAAATTTAACAATTCGCCTTGAAATTCAATTCCTTCCTCGAGGCATCTTCTCATTTCAGTAACTACGGTGACATCCACCAATGGATGCCTTCGCTTAGCAAATGGGCCTCTACATTGCAAGAAACGGCTGCAAAAAATTTTAACAGTCAATATATGACAAGGTGTATCATCCACAGGTCAGCCACACATTTCCGAAGTTTTGACAATGATGATACATGATAATGAGAAGAAATTTAAAGCGGCGATATGACTAAGCAAGACTATCAAAAAAAGAGCTAAAACCCACTAAATAAAGGAAAAGAAATGGAAAACAAGAATAACCCATCAACAGAAAATAAGAAATAGACACACTTCCACAAACAATGAACAGAATTTGTTTTCCATCCATGCCAAATTTGCCAGAAGCAAGATTCTAAAATCGCAGTTCAACTTGAACTTACCAAATTGTCAAAAAGCTAAATGCAAGTAGCACAACTAATGAAAGAGTGACATGATATATACAATGCCCTGCGTGGGGATTAAAATCAGATTTTTAATAGATTTAATAGAAGTTGATGAAATGTTTGGCGACAAGTTGAGTCCCATGAAATGCTTGATTAAAATTAATTGTTGACTTTGACTTAGATTATATGAGATTCTAATCCATACTAAACAACAGTAATATAACACATATATTTACTTCAAGTAGTATCCACTATCCACGATGCATTGGTCATTATACTTAAACAGATCCCAGCTGCTAACTAAGGAAAATGTTTTAGAAAAACTTACCGTAGAAACAACTGCCAATAAAACTTTAGTTCTCTTTCTACAATGTGAAAATCAACTTCTAGTTCCAGTCTACTTTAATGACATCCAAAATTAGAGAGCAAGATGCATGAAGTAAAGTAGCTTCTAAGGACCAGACCATGTAACATTCATTTTCTTTAACAGGCCTCGTGAAAACTCAAGTGAAAACCTTGAACTCAATATTTAACTTGAAAACCTTTGTTCCTATATCAGGCTATGTAGCATTCATCAGTCTTCATATTATTTTACCTCGTAAAAAGATCTAATCATTCTCGAGTCCTAAAGGATTAGATCTTTGCCAGCTTCCAATTCATAAGCACAGGATGCAATAGGCTGCCAACATATTCAATGGAATTGAGGATGAAGGGCGCTTATGTATCACTGACATTATAATTTACCAATCAGCTGAAAAGGAGATCAATTAAAAATTCAAGTATCTGTATATTACACAGATAAACACTTCTTATTGTCTTTCATGGAATAAAAAGTTCAAATTGGGTAAAGAGTTTTGTGCATTTCATCACAATAAATAAAATCGATATAAGCACCATCAAAGTGAAATTTGAAGTCGATTCACTCTCCTAAACAAGCAGATCAAGCAAGAAAAAATAATACAATTTTAAAAGTCACAAACAAAATAGTAAGTAGATAAAGCAAATATAATTGCATCACATGGGCAGGGCACCCAAAAAATAATAATAATAATAATAATAATAAATAATAAATAAATAAATAAATAAAGGAAAAAATTTGCTGCTTGGAAATCACTCCTAAAATTTTTAAACATATCTAAACATAGATGCTCCAAATTCAACAATTTCCTGTTTCTTAAGAGGCCATGAGGAAGGTAATAAAGATTTCTAGTCTGTCAATGCAGATTATTGCATTTTGTTTGGATTCAATTTCCTATGAATTGTATCAGACTTTTGTCGATTGAAATTCAAACTACCATACCAAAGATAGTAACTCTTTTATTTTTACCAGGCTAACAAAATTTTCAGCTGCAAGATTTGTTTTATCCTAAAACACTAACTAAAAATAATTTGTCAATATTTCTAGGGTATTGCCAGGGTTACAAGTACTTATATATGCCATCATTTAACCTCCCAACCTAAATAAAGAATAAAATAATATGGAATTAGCCAAAAATTATGTTTTCTTAAAGAGTAAAATATTTATACAAATCAATAGGATGATATAGAATAGAACAAAATTGACGCATTAACTTTCATTAATAGTAATACTGAATCTTTAAATTGGAAAAGAGGCTGTCCAAGGGTGACATTGAATAAGAAAGATATAGGAGCACTGCAGATAGCAATCAAGCAGCAAACAAGAGCAATGAAAACAATGATAAAAAAGCTGCACAACGTCAGAATGTAAAATAGTGGCAAACATCATAATTTTAATTCCGAGCAGTAATTTATCAGAACTGTTGGTTTATAGTTGTAAGCACTTTCCACAGTTGGGTATCGACTTATGAGCCTATGTGTTTAACTGTGGATATTCTCTCAAACAAACATCAAATACATATGATTTCAATGCACAACATCTCAACGAGCCTTATTACAAAGCCATCACCAGTATGTACCTAAATAATCAAAAGGTCAATTGCTTATCAAATCAGCAGATGGCAGAGGAACATGTATACGTATAAAACATCTAACCACAATATAAATATCAAGTTCAGTATCAGTCAGCACTGGAATTTTCCAGCCTTGAGTCCTAAATCAAGTTCTAACTGAAATACCAGCTTGTGCAGGTGTTCAAGAGAACAGGCAACACTTTTATCCGTATTTGTAAGTATTGAAAAATCAATTCTGTCAAATAAGTTGACACGATGATCATAGAATCTTAGCCATTAGCAACCAAAACCAATCATCATAAAATATTACGAGTCATTCTGAAGTTACTCAACAGTTCACAATTTAATTTTATGAAAATCCTCGAAGAATTATAACACGTGGAAGGATTTTTCCAAGAGCTTGCTCTGGTATAGTTTCAATATATTCTTTCTCGGGAGAAAATAAGAAATTTATGTAATCTATAGAGTAGAATTTCATTTATGTTTGAAGAGTCATGTAAGGTTCGGCATAATTGATATTAATTCAAGCAAAATGGATGAAAAAACCTAATTTCATTTCACACTCATACGAGGGAGTAAAGCCTACCCCAATAAAATCTTGATACAAACATAACAGAAATTCCAATCTCATGAACCAACAAAAAAGGGGGGGCACAATCAAACATAATTCAAGGAAACTAACCAGTTCCGGCCAAGAACTTCCTCTGCCCGGTACCCAGTGACCATCTCGAATACTGAATTAACATAAATAATCGGCTGGTCCGGCTCTAACGCATCCGTGACAGCAAACCCACAAGGCGCCGGCTGCAACAGCCTGTCCACAGGAAACGGTACACCTCCACCACTCTTCTTCAACAGAAACCCCAACGCTTCTGCTACCTCCTCCTCCTCTTCGCCTCCGCTCAAATCAGACTCCGAATTACTGTCCCACTCCATCACACTTCACAGAAAATATCAGCACAATTTTTCTCTATTCACCCCATAATGATCGGCGACGGATAGACGAAAACAGCAGTAAATTTGTAAAAAATTGGAAATATCCAGATCGAATTTCAACAAGGTATGCGTAGATTTTAGGTGGGAAATAAGTGGACAAGGTGTTTGGCCTAGCAAAATACACACACGGAGAAAGAGAGAGAGAGAGACAGACAGAGATGCCAAAAAGTGCAGAGGGAATTATTACAATTTATAATAAGGGTACGAAATGTGCTCTCACCGCCATGGGAGAAAAGTTTGGGTGCGAATACACGAACTTCTGGAACCACAACTGGATTAGCATTGCCAGGTTAGGCAAACAATGATAAGCTTTCAAAATTCCATTTGAGGTCTTAACTTATAATTTTGTTTCATTTTAACCACTTTGTTTATAAACTACTGATTAGTTGCAAATCTCTTAGTATTGCGTAGCATAATATTCGTAAGGATTGTAAAAAAAACAAGTCAAACCCGATACCCATGGGTCCCTTCTCGAACAGGATGAGAATTACCCACTTAATCAAGAATTAGGGTCGAGGACAAGACGAGTACAAATATCAAGGGTCCCATCCGTATTATTATTATTATTATTTTGAAGAATTCGATACTTTAATGGAAAGTTTTATAAAATTTCATTAGTTCTAATAAAATATGGCAACTAAAATTATCAAAAGAATATAACAAATTATTAAGAGGGTGTTTGAGTCACATTATTTTGGTAATAATGCATTCTTGAATAGTATATTGATGGGAAATGTATGTTTAAAAAATAAGGAAAATAATTCAATACTTTAATGGAAAGTTTTATGAAATTTCATTATTTCTAATAAAATATGGCAACTAAAATTATCTAAAGAATATGACAAATTATTAAGAGAGTGTTTGAACCACATTATTTTGGTAATAATGTATTCTTGAATAGTGTATTGATGAAAAATGTGTGGTTAAAAAATAAGGAAAAGTTTTTTATCTAATGTAATATTATTTTATTAAAAATGTGTGGTTGAAATGATGTCAAATCACTGTTTAAGAATATATTTTTTTGAAATAATGTAGCTCAAACTGGTCCTAAAACTCTAGTTTACCAAATATATTTGAATAAGTTAACTTTTAAAAATATTAATAAATGAATTTAAAGCTCTTGTTTGATATTGATTTAAATTAAATTTTAATCTAAATTAAAGTCAAACAATTGATATTAATAACATATTTTATGGGCCACATATCTTTTTAATCACACATTTTAAAAACTTTTATCAAAATTTATTAAAAATTTAATTTTCATCCCCACGAAACAAAAGCAAAATTTTAATAAATATATTATTACCTCATTTTAATGAACAGAAAAATAAAATGAATTAAAAAAAAATTAAATGGTTGGTAAACGGGATAAGGGCCCTATCCCACCTTAAATGGGTAACAAGACGGGAAATTACTCAGCAGGATAGCGGGTGGGGGAAGTTGTCTCGACCCGTCATACCTGTTCCGTTGTCATCCCTAAATATTTGTTTGATGTCAAATAAACAATTAGTTTGACAGAGATTTGTGACAGCAACGAACAACCACATGTTCTCTTGGTCAGTTTTGAGCTTTTGTTCATGTATTTCGCGAGTCATGTAGGATTGACACTTATATTTTGTCTTGAGTTAATTCGCAAATGGTCACTGAAGTTAAGCAAAATTTTAAATTTTGCATTGAAGTATTTTTTGACTAACCTAGTCATTAAGTTGAAACATATACAAAAGACTTTCTAAATATGAGAATTTCTACGTTTTAGAGAGTGGGTGCTTAAAGATAAATTCTAAAGACTTTTCTTTTTTCTTTTTTTCTTTTTTTTCTTTTTTTAAAATAGATAGTAGGTTGAATTATTCTAATTCTTATTTTATAATGATTAAATCTATAAGTTACATAATTCTCTTTTTCTTACATTATTCAGGTCATATTTAAATTGGTTGACTATTGATATATAAAAATATATTGAATAAAATATGGGGTGAAAAAAAATAATTTTTTATTGCTTAAAAATATAAAGAGCATTATTAAAATGCATAGTAAATTTTACTCTGGAAACGTGTTAACCACCATCAATTTAATGGTTCATCAAAATAATTGAACCCAAATTGAGTCTTAAAAGTTGAGTTTAAATTTCAAGATAAGATCATGGTGTCAGGGTGGAACTCCCAACTTAGTTCAGTTCGGATACAACTTTTAATTTAGCTCGACTTATATTCAGAAAAAAGGAACTGTCGTCGTCGTTTGAGAAACATCATCATTACACTCTGTTTTCCCTCACTCCAAGATTGGCATCCCACCTTTATCTAACCCAATTGCTTCATTACACGTGGCAAACGTCATGGGGCATGTGCCCAGTTACAATTTCAAAATGTTTATTCATCACCTTAACTCCATAATGGCACATAGAAGCCGACGTCAATAGCCCATCGATATTAGGTCAACAACACACACATTAAGTTCGACAATGTTGCTAAGTTGATATAGAATATATTAATTTGCCTATTTTCTGCTATAAATGGGGATGTAATGGTCCCTATGGGTATGAAACTCAACTATTACATCTAACTCACTTCAAAATTCTCCCCACTCAATACATATACATTTTTTCCTCAATAATTCAGCAATATTTTAGTATTTAAGTACATTTTACATATTTCAGTTCAAATTACTTCTCCCAAATAATCAATTAAGTTGACAAAAACATCAACAAAACTTATAGATGATCTAATAATATTGATTAGTCATATATTACGTAGTAGCTTTTAAACTTTTACTCATTCTAATTTGCATTTTTTTTTTTTTTTACTATTTAATGGTAATGAAATAGAAATAGAGTTTAAAGAAGCAATGGGCGTTGACTTTTTTCTTTTAGGATTCGTGTTTTATTTTGACGATACGTAATTTCACAACACAGACACAATAATAGTTAGTTATGTCAAAATATTTCGGGCCTTCATTAGGTAGGGAGTAAATGTCGATAAAGGGGCATTTGTGAAACAACTCCTTTAGTTGCTGATAGAAACAATTGGTTAAAATGTAAGTTGAATATTGAAAATAAAATAAATTAAAGTTAGATGACTAACATGAAATAAACCTGTAAAGTGAGTAACATCAATGGAAATTTATCTGACGAAAAAAGTGTGGATATACTTTGTGGTGATATAAGTCTAGTCTAGAACATACCCTTTTTTTTTTTTTAAGTGAATTAAAATTAGTAGAGTCTTTTACAGGCCTCTCACTGTGCAGATACCTCACATGTGTTAATAAAAATAATAAATTATGTGGGGTCCACATATGTGTGAGACTTGATACGGACCTGTTAGTCTAGCCCCTCTCAAATTAGTAAAGCCAACTATCGATCAATACGGACATTTCATTTGATTTATTTATATACAGTGTTTTTTTCTTTAAAATGTAATCTGAGTCGTGTCCAAACTAACTTTTATTCAACTAACTATATTTTGTACAATTTTATCAATTTCTAAAAATAAAAACTGCAGGGACACAAGGGGGAGGAAAAAAAATGTCTACACTGTCAAGAATAATTAATCGAATATCAAAAAAAAAAAAAAAAAAATAGAAGTAGATCAGAAGAAATTCTAAAAATAGTTTTGCTATAAGTAGAGAAAGTTTCACATAATTTTTTGCCAGATGCCAAGTGTCAACACTGCATTAGTCTGTTTTAATCTGTATTTTCCATTGTCCAATCAAATGAAGCCACCTCTCTTCCTCTAAATTTTTCCTGTGAAACATCCCTGTACCTATAGTTTTTTCTTCTAAAAATACGCAGTTATCTAGCTAGCTTATTTTCACAAAAGTTATATATTTCCTTAATTTAAATATAAGCTACTCGATTTTTGGCTCTGATTTATTTTATTGTTGCTCACAATCGACCGTCTTTGTCCAGGACGTGAGCTTATCATTATTTCTGTTTGATAGGGATTAAAATCAAATTTTTTAGTAGATTGTGATAGAAATTTTTGAAATGTGTGGTTAAATAGTTGTGGGATCCATGAAAAATGTAGTTAATATTGATTGTTTAACTTTAATTTAGATTAAAAACAAATTTTAATTGGTGATTTTAATGGTGATGCGTGACTGTGTGTAAACCACATTTGTTAAACTCAAATAAGATTGGTCCTTGTTATTGTATATACAATTGAATTTGTCCAATTAAATTTGCAGAAATAACTAAGTGAGGTTTCCTCTTAACTACTTAAACAACCACTAACTTATTGCTTTATATTATGAAATATAAAAATGTAATATATATGAAATATTATTCTCAAGTACACCCTCAAATTATATTAAAATAAAATAGAAAATATTTTTATAGTTGTAATATATCAAAGAAACAAGCACAATTACGCCCAATTTGACATGATTTTTGAAAAGTCAAAATTAATTTTTGAGATCCGAAAGTTCTCTTGAATCCATTTGACATAACTTTTGGGAAATTAAAAGGAACTTTTGATATTCAAAAATTACTTTTGAATCCGTTTAATTAATTTTATAACAGGTCTTTCAAAAGAGAATGTTTAGAAATTAGTTTTAAAACGTTAATTAAGATAGTTACCTGTTCCTTTTCTATCCATTGGAACAACTATGTAGCTAGTCGAGCCATTCGAAAGCACCAACGTTAACCTTTTATTAATTAATAAAAAGCAATTAATAACAGAATATACAATTTTTTGTTGCAAAATTGCACAAACTTCATACTGAAATTGGGCATATGAAATGGTGTGTGGAATCGCCATCTCTCTATAGACAAAATTAGGTATCTCTTTTTGGTGATTGATTTTTTCTCTTGGATTAACTATGTTTTCTTCTGTCATGAATTTATTTTACTTCAAACGGTTTATGGATTCAATTCATTTAAAGAAAAAAAAAATTGAATATCAAATAGTTATAAAACCATAGTTTAATTATTGCATATAATTTCAATTTAAAAGTTTTATAAAAATTGATTACTGCAAATTCTTGCTTGAATGGAAGAGACACAAGAAAATCCTTGGAAGGGAAGAAAGAGTTGTTCTTTATTACGGAAAGTATGGACTTCTCTAAAAATCGTTCTCAATCTGAATACCATATGATTTATATAGACTTCCTAAAAGTTTTAATTGAATATTTTGTGACTTTCGAATTATATATATATATATTTTAAAGTCTACAAAACTCTCTATTGAATAGAACAATACTTTTAGATCAGTCCAAACTCGAACTTGTTCATCCTTTTTGTTGTAGCTTGTTGCCGTGGACCACCTCCTAACTGATTTTTGTTTGATATTT